CGGCGGGAGCGCCACTGCGCTCCCAAGCGGCGCACTGTAGCAGTGCGCCACCGGGCCGGCCCCAACATAAGCTTATTTGACTAGTAAACTCAGGGAGAATAAAAATTGTATGTTTGCATCATACTCAGTGCTGACAACTCTGAAAACATACCTGTTTATTGCTTTAATTAAACCAACAATGTTAAACAAATCTTATCTACCAAAGATTATTACAGATCAAGTGAACTTGAAAAATATTTGGGTTTGTTCCTATATTTCTGAAAGTTTTTAAGAATACTTTTATATAAGTGCTTATTTTTCCTAAACCAATTAAACTAGAACTAGCTTATGTCATCTCTAGTAGATGTTTGAGATTTTATAAATTCATTTTGGCAATACCATCCAGAGCATTAATATGTAGACATGCCTAAACACACAAACACACACAAGGAGAGACCTCATAGCTCCACTCCAAAACTTTGGCCATGAGTCAAGCACAGATACAGAATACAGCACTCACTAATTCATGTGAGTGGCTCTTGTTGCCTCAGTTTATATCTGAATTATCTTTTCTGGCAGATGGAACAAGTTGAGGTTACTTGCTTAATACTGTTAAAGATTTTTACCAATATTTGTGGGGGAGACTTTTAAGATTTTCATTTGACCTGATATGTAATCTTATGAAGCTTGTCGACTCAATTTTGAGCAAGAAACCTTTTTCATTGTTTTGTTTATTTGTTTGCTTTGGTGGCTGGTGGTGCAGGGATCAGACCCTGGACTTTGGTATTATTGGCACCATGCTCTGACCACCTGAACTAAAAATGGCCAGCCAGTAAGGGACCTTCTGGAAATACCAAGTGGTGGTCTGAGTATTTCTAAAGCCTATCTGAATGGGAAAAAATATCCAGCCTATTTCCAATGGCTCTTTTACCTTTCAGCCTCAGGTAGTTATTTTAATCAACTCAGAAGTTAAAGCAAGGTACCCTCTGGGATAGAAGGCAATTGTCCCCTTGGATGTTTGCATTTAAAAACTGTGAAGGTTAATTCTAGGTGTCAACTTGATTAGATTAAGGGATGCTGAGAAACCTGATAAAGCCATCTTTGTAGATGTGTCTGTGAAGGTGTTTCCAGAAGAGATTAGCATGACAGCCTGAGTGAACTGGGTGGGAAAGATCTACCCTCAGTGTGGACGGGAACCATCCAATCCGCTGGGGGCCCAGAGAGAATGAAAAAAGGAGAAAAAAAGGTGAATTTTTTTTTTCCACTGGAGCTAGGATATACTCTTCTCTCCTGTCCATGGACATCAGAGCTCAAGAGTCTTCAGCTTTTGTGTTCCAGGACTTACACTAACAGCACAATCGGCGTCCCTAGTTTTGAGGCCTTTGGCCTCAGACTAAGCCATGCTACCGACATCCAGTTTGCAGACGGCCTGTCATGGCACTTCTCTTCACAATCGTGTGAGCTAATTCCCCTAACAAATCTCCTCTCATATATTTATAACATATCCTATTGATTCTGTCTCTCTGGAGAACCCCGACTAATACAAAGACAGTATTCTCAAGGTCCTAGAGAAGACAGTCTGAGTGTTACCGACAGACCAGGCTTGGCTTGCCCTCTCTCATTAAACAAATGACTCAAAAGTCCAGAAGTTGGTGCAAGGATTAGAAGGTTTATTCAGATAACTGGCATCTGGGGATGACCAGGCTAAAATCAGCCTGCCTTCTGATTCCTGTTCTGGGGTTTATAAAGGGGAAGAGGCGGGAAGATGACATAAGGGTCTTTGTTCTAAAGAAAAAGGGGGGGAGGGTCTAGGAGCAGCAGATGGTCTGAGTCGAATGTCAGGGTCCCATGATGGACTGGAAACTTCAGCATCACAGACTCTGTGGTCAGCTTCAAGTCCTTGATGTTACCTCGAGGTTGGAGTCCTTACCTCCTAGGGAGAGCTCAGGGATAATAACCTCAGTCAAACATCATAAAAATACCTGACTTCAATTTCTAATTAACGTGAATGCAGTTTTCCTTTAAGTAAGAGGGGCGAGTTTACAAACAGGTTGTCTGCCTCTCTCTTATATCTCCTCTTGTTTGCAGCCATTTAGAGAGGTAAGGAAAACAAGAAACTTAGTGTCAGTCTTTAATTGTAGGTGCAGCCCCTCTGAAGTACATCAACGTAAGAGGCAGTGATTTCATCGCCCGGCAGTCTCTCAATTCTTCTGTTACCTTCAAGGAATTGATAATTATCAGTTTCCAAGTTAAGGGATGACTGAAATGTTCTGCTTGGTCTTAGTTACCCCAAAGATGGTTGTTTTCTGGCTAAGGTCCCTTTCATGGGTGGTAGGAAATTTACATCTCAAAGAGACAACTGAAGGACATGCTGTAGTTTGAATGTCCCCTCCAAAACGTGCTGTAGTTGCCACTGTAACAGTGTTGAGAGGCAGGACGTTTGAGAGGTCATGAGGGCTCTACCCTCACAAATGGATTTATGCCATTTTCATGGGAGTGAGTTAGTTATTGCAGGAGCCGGTTCCTGTTAGAAAGGATGAGTGCGGCCTGACTGCTCTCTGTGTCTCACCATGTGATGCCTTCTGCGATGTCATGACGCACCATGCAGGCCCTCACCAGATGTGTTTCCTCGATCCTGGACTTCCCAGCCTCCAGGACCATGAGCCAAATAAATCTCTTTTCTTTATAAATTACCCAGTCTTTGATATTCTGTTATAGCAACAGAAAAGTACTAAGACAGGACATAAGCTCTTTAAAGAAGTGGTTCAGGGCATATCTGCTTATCGTCAGAGGCCCAGGGCAATTACTATTTACCTTTTTCTTGTCTTTCTCCTTTTTTCGCCCTATGCTCTGGGTCCTCAAGATTTAATGCAGCACGTCTTTGGAATATTTTTTATAAATCATTCCACAGAGGCTTCAGGATTTTTTTCTCACTCTGAGTACATAGTCCAAATGGCTTCTGTCAGGCTCTGAATATTGGCGTCCAACTGGGCCAACTCTTGACCATTTGCAGGAAGGTCTAGAAGAGGGCCTGGCCATTTTTACCTCCGTGAGGAGGGTTTTCTCCTGGAAGCCATTTGGACAACTACAGACCCCACTGCAAAGAATTTATATCCTCTGGACAGCTGCAGATCTGTTAAATTATAGAACCCTTCTACGCCCACTTTTCAAAGATCCTGTCAAATTTAAAGAGCAGCTAGAAGTATTAGTGGCCATCCACAACTACTCACAGAGACCTTGACTGGCTTCTATGGGGTGTTCTTCCCACCATGATTATACTGTAGTTATCTACAAATGTAGGAGGGCCTGGAGCTGATGGCATCTGGTTAGACCCCTCAGAAGGAGACAGAACCATAAGGGACAAGAAAACAAGCCTTGATGCACATTCCTGGGGCCTCTGCCAAAGCTCGTTCCTGGTTATCAGCACTGACATAAGTAACTTATATGTCTCATGCCTGGAGGTCAGGCAGGAGTGATTTCTACAATTCTTGAAAGAAAACAGAAGTTAAAGTGGACAGTTCAATGACTAAGAGATTTTCTGGGGAAGCTGGAGGAGTTTTAGAAATTAAAGGAATCTGTTGAGGAGGTGGGGCCCAGCTTTGAGGAGGGGGATTTGAGACCAGAGATCCAAAGGATCTTCTGGAGGGTCAGGAATAGGGAGTCGAGGGTAAAGGATAGGAAGAAGGTGGAGGAGGGAAATTACAGTGGGTGTGGATTTCAACTTTTGTACTAAGTCCGATTTCTACTTTTGAATCTGGTTAAGGGAGTCTCTTTGGCTATACATGCAGCTTTTCTGCATCCTTTCTTAAATTTGACTCTCTTGTGATAGCTAATTTTATGTGTCTACTTGACTGGGTCATGGAGTGCCCAGGTATGTGGCTAACCAATTATTTTTGAGTGTGTCCATAGGGTGTTTCTGGATTAAATTAGCATGTGAATGTCAGACGCAGTAAAGCAGACTGCCCTCCCTAATGTGAGAGGGCATCATACATTCCTTTGAGGGCATGAAAAGAAGAAAAAGCAAAGGAAGGGAGAATTCACTCTTTCTACCTGCCTATGCGACCTGGGACATTGGTCTTCTCCTGCCTTCAGACTGAGACTTACACCATTTGCTCCCCTGGTTCTCAGGCCTTCAGGCTGAGCTACACCACTGGCTTTCCGGGGTCTCAAGCTTGCAGAGGACAGACTGTGGGACTTCTCAGCCTCCATAATTTCATGAGCCAATTCCTCATAGTAAATCTCTCTCCATCTCTCTCTGTCTCTCTGTCTCTCTCCCCCTCTCTCTCTTTCTCTCTCTCCCTCTCCCCTTCTCTCTGTCTCTATCTCTGTCTATATCTCTATCTCTATCTCTCTCTCTGTATATCCTATTGCTTCTGTTTCTCTGAAAACCCTGACTAATACAGAGTTTGGTACCAAGAGTGGGGTGCTACTGTAACAAATGCCTAAAAATGTGGATGTGACTTTGGAACTGGGTAATGGGTAGAGACTGGAAAAATTTTGAGGTGCATGCTTAAAAAAGTCTGCATTGCCATGAATGGACCATTAAGGGTGATTCTCATGAGGGCTCAGAAAGAAAAGAGGAGAGATTTAGATAAAGATTTCACCTTCTTAGATAATACATAAATAATTGTGTACAGAATGTTGTAGAAATACACATGGTAAAGGCCAATCTGATTAGATCCCAGATGGAAATGAGGGACATGTTATTGGACTATGGGGAAAGGGTGGTCCTTGCTATAAAGTGGCAATGAACTTGACTGAATTGTTCATGTTTTAGTGTTTGGTGGATGACAGAACTTGTGAGTGGTGAAATTGGAAACTTAACTGAGGAGATTTCTAAGCATAGTATACCGGACACCCACCAAAACAAACAAAGAGCAGACCACAGCCTAACAGGGTTTTTGGGGCAGTGGACATCACCTTGGTTCCAACAGGCCAGATGGTGGCCACCTGGTACCATGGGGCTGGGCTGCCTGGAGCCTCAGGGGGCCCATTGCCACCCAACAGAGTCACGAGGAGCCACTTTTGCCTGGCAGAATCACAGGCATGTGCCCCTGCCCAGCAGCGCTGCAGAAGTGGGACCACTGCCTAGTGGATCCAGAGGCAGAGCATCAAGCAGAGAGGATTAATCTTGAGCTTTAAGATCTCATGGCACTTGCTTTGTGAGATTTTGAACTTCCTTGGGATCTGTCACCCATTCCATCTTCCCTATCTCTCCCTTTGGAATGGGAATGTCTATCTCACACCTGCCCTGCCCTTGTATTTCAGAAGCAAGTAACTAGTTTGCCTTCACAGATTCACCTGTGAGATCTGGAGAGTAATTTTGCCTCAGGATGAGTCTCACCCATATCTGATTTAAATGATATTTGGATGAGACTTTGGACTCAGACTTGATATTGGAATGAGTTAAGACTGTCAGGGCTGTATGAATGGAATGAATGTTTTTTGCACGTGAGAAGCACATGAATTTTGGGAAGCCAGGGATGGAATGTTATATGTTCCCCCCAAATTCATATGCTGAAATCCTAATCCCTCACGTGGTGGTATTAGAGGTGGGACCTTTATTAGGTAATTAAAGTTAGATTAGGTCATGAGGGTGTGGACCTCATCATGTGATTAACGCCCTTATAGAAAGAAGAGACACAAAATCACCCCCTCCCTGCATGCATACACCAAGGAAAGGTCATATGAAGATACAACCAAGAAGAGCCCTCATTGAGAGCCCGACCCTGCTGGCACCTGGCTGCTGACCTCCAGCCTCCAGAACTGCAACAACTAGGTGTTTGTTGTTTAAGTCACTCAGGTTATGGTAATTTGTTATATTGGCCCAAAGTGACTAAGACAACTCCCATGTGTACCAGTTGTGTATTTGTTTAGGACGAAAGCTCTCTAAAGATCCTTTCAGGAGCCGGCCCGGTGGTGCACTGCTACAGTGCGCCGCTTGGGAGTGCGGCGGCGCTCCCGCCGAGGGTTCGGATCCCACATACAGACCGGTTCCCGCTCACTGGCTGAGCGAGGTGCAGGCGCAGCACAGAGGGTTGCGATCCCGTTGCCGGTCCTGATCCGGTACGGGGGCAACACTGAGGGTTGCGATCCATTGCCAGTCACAAAAAAAAGACAAAAAGGAAAAAAAAAAAAAGATCCTTTCAAATATAAAAGCTTTTCAAACCAAAGGATATCTCCAGAGGTATACCTTTTCTAAATGTGACTCAGAACCAATAAGCCTTTTTATGGCTGAACCGTGTGTGCAAGAGGTGTCCCCAAAGAGGGTACAAAAATACAGACCCCATGATCCAAAGTTATTCCCAAAGATAGCCAAAGAGAAAGAAAGCAAAGACCCTCGCCACCACAGGCGATGAGAATGGTTTGTGAAAACTTGTGTCTCCAGTGTCCCACCAAAGTGAGATGCTTCCAGTCACACGAACCCGCTAATCCATGACTTCTGGCAAGTGATAATGAGAAGGAACTCTTTTAGTTGATAAAGCATCAAGAGAAAGATGACAAGGGCCCCTTATGGGCTGAGACCCCTTACTTAGACAGACTCCTCCAAGAGCTGGCGCAGTCAGGCAGAGGTGTTGCTGTGTGCTCGAGTCTTAGGTTCCTGGCCTGACACCTGCCCACCTCCAGACACAGGCAGAAAACCAGAGAGAATGCTGTCACTGAACCCCAGCCAAGCTCTCGGGACACAACCCGAGAGTGTCAACCGGGTTTGTTTGTTTGTTTGTTCGAACAGATGTGGTTCAGTGAGAACTGTAAACTCAACAGTCTGAGGCCAGTTGGAACCACAGGCTTATGAGAACCAGTGCCTGCGCTCTAACCTGTGATTCCCCTTCTTAAGACAAGTGACAGAGCAGACAGAGAGGAAGGAAACTAGTGGCTATGCCTAGGAGGGAAAGGATCAAAACAGATGAGTACTCTAAACCAAGTTCACGAGAGTCATACGACCCAAAGAACTAGTTCTTACAAATGTTTTTTCCTGCTAATCTAGAGAGGCTTCTACCGCCCTCACTCACCTGGATTCTGAGCATCAATGTGGGAGGCTCATGGGGTAAGAATTCTTACCTTTGCCAGCAGGTCAGATGTTCCAAGATCTCAGCTGCAGCCTCCGGACTGAGCAGGAGTCCCAGCCTTCCCTGTAGTTATTAAAACTGTCTAGGAGGAAAAACTTTTCATCTGTCCCCTTATGTTCTGTACCTGGAGCCCTGCAAATTAAACTAAAAAAAAAAAAAAAAAAAAAAACACCACAGATTAATAGGAGAAAATGCATACAATTTATATTGATACTTATATGCATGGGAGTTCATAGAAAAAAAAAGTGAAACTCAGAAGCTTATATACCATTGCAACAAAGGAAAGGGGGTTTGGGCTTCAAGGAATGAGACAGATTATGGGAAAGTGACTAGGAAATATAAACTAATAGAAGATAAGGGTTATTTTAGTAAGTTTTTAAAATACAGACTCATCTTGATGCCAACTCTCCATCTCCTGTGATTAGAGGTGATCTTCTCTTCTTGGTATGGGAGAGGGGGCCCTTCACAAAGGGAATTTTTGCCCTGCATTTAGGCAAAAAAGGGGAGGGCAGAGAACTCTACAGCATCTGCTGACTCTTAATTGCCTTCAGCTCAAAATAATATTTATGCTAAAGTGGGATATTTTGGGGTGGCATATTCAGGACCCTTAATATGTGAAGCACTCAGCACCATTCCTGGCCATATTGAGTGCTCATATGAAATGTTTGTTATTATTTTTAAGTTTACTATAGTTAGGTTCTGAGCGAGGTGCTGGAGTTACCTATAATAAGACATCCTTCCTGACCTCAAGAAGTTTACAATTTGAAACAAAGAGAGACAAACCTGTGCACAAACAGGTATATAAGGCTATCAATCATCAGTGCCATAAAAACATAATAACCAAAGACTGGGGGTACAGAGAGGAGAAATTTATTATGTTGGGGCACAGGGACTCCAGAAGGTTTTGCTGGAGAGGTTTCATCTGAGCTGTATCTTGAAGGATGAGTTAGTATTTAGATAGAGGAAGAGACGCGTTCTAGGCAGAGGAAACCGCATGAACAAGAACACTGTGTCATCATGAGAGTGTGTAGTAAATTCAGGTACGACATTCCAGATTCATAGCTCATTTTAGAATCAATGAAAAATATAAGGCAAAGGAGGAAAACAGTTTCCCTCTCAAGGATCACTGATCTGCAAAGCTTGTACATAACAAGTACACAGCATTAACTGCAGTTTCATATTCCTGAGGCAGTGGGGAGAAGATCAACCCCTAGGCTATGACAGAAAGGAGTCATCCTGGGGCCCATGGCTGGAGGGTGTGTGTGATCCATCCTCGCCAGGATCTGGGGGAGCCGGAAGCTCACTTGCATCTGCCTAGGCTGACTAGCTAGCTGCGCGCGGCACTAGGAGCTGAGCTTTGCGCTCTCCGACGGACTTGGCTGTGCAGCACATGGGAAGCTGCACCTGTGCTGGGGTGCAGGGCGTGCAAAAATGACATAATTGTTGCAACAGGCCCCGAAAAGCCCTGAGCATCGGACTCCGTAGGCCACAACTTCATCTTCTTCAGCTCTTACAGAACGCACAAGCTTGCAAACCAACAGATGTGTGCATAAACCTCAGTCTTCCCCAGTGGCATCCCCAGTGCTCCTATTGATCCCGGTGGCTGGAGAATCTTTATAGAAGCACAGGATGTGAGAAAACGGACCCGTGCGGGGAGAGGAGGACAGCAGCGAAAGCCCAGCCCCCTCCTCACCTCAGCCCCCGGGGAGGGCTGTCTGTGCTGCCACCTGGTGGCTGGCCACAGGTCTGCACCCGCCTCCTGACGGGTGCAGGGCCACGTGAGGAGCCCAATGGGGCCAGAAGTCAGCGGGTTGTGTAAGAAAACCACGGGGCCACCACTCCTGACACTTCAGAGGTTCTTGTCCCTGGTCACATACCAAAGATGACCTCTGTTGTCTTTTGGCTTGAAATAACCTCCAAGTGTATTTCTCCATTGCCTCGGAAGACACACATTTCAGCCTGTGGACAAGCATGAGCTTTTGCTTGGCTAGGGTCACTGTCGACATTTAGTGCTTGGCATGGGTGTTATTCTCTGTTCCTGCGTGGGACCCTGACGGATCTCTGGCCAGCTGCAAGGTCAGTGCAAAAAAGTAAGGAAAACAGTGACAAGACAGTAGTCAGTCTAGGCTCCTGGTTTTTTATTTTTAAAAAATATAATGCCATTTGTGCACACCCATGTTCATAGCAGCATTATTCACAACAGCCAAGAGGTGGAAATAACCCAAGTGTCCATCAGCAGATGAATGGATGAACAAAATGTGGTCTATACGTACAATGGAATGTATAAATGTATATAAATGTATATACATACCATGCAGTACTGTTCAGTGTTAACAAGGAAGGACATTCTGACACATGACACAGCATGGATGAGCCTTGAGGACATTATGCTCAGGGAAATAAGCCAAACACAGAGGGACAAATACTGTATGATTCCACTTATATGAGACACCTGGAGTATTCAGATTCATAGAGACGGAAAACAGAAGGGTGGTTACCAGGGGCTGGAAGAGGGAGATATGGGGAGTTACTGTTGAATGGGTGCAGAGTTTCAGTTTGGGAAGATAAAATAAGTTCTGGAGATCTGTTGCACAACAGTGTGAACATACTTAACACTACTGGACTGTACGCTTAAAAATAAAGATGGTATATTTTATGTTATGCGGGTTTTTTTACCACAATTTAAAACATTTTTTTGAATTATTTTTTAAAACATGATGCCTATTGGATACTTAACACTACTGGACTGTACGCTTAAAAATAAAGATGGTATATTTTATGTTATGCGGGGTTTTTTTACCACAATTTAAAACATTTTTTTGAATTATTTTTTAAAATATGATGCCTATTGATTAAAACATTTTTTTGAATTATTTTTTAAAATATGATGCCTATTGATCTTACTGTTCTCTCTTTTTTTCAGGATTATTTGTTTTATATTTTTGCATTCATTTGTGCTGAGGTATAGTTTGCCTACAATAAATTACATACTTCTTGTGTGTTCAGTTTGATGAGTTTTGACTACTCCAAACAAGATATAAACATTTCCATCACCCCAGGAAGTTTCTTCTTGCCCCTTCCGGTCGGCCCCACCCCCACCCCAGGCGGTCACTTTCTGACTTCTGTCACTAGACATTATTTTTCTCACTGAGGTTATAATCAGATACCACAAAATGCACAGTTCTTAGGTGTACAGTTTGTGACTTTTGACACATGTAACCAACACTCTAATCTAGATGTAGATATTCTCCATACTCTAGGAAGTCCCTGTGTCCTTTCCAGTCTGTGACCTCGGCTACCCCGGGGCAGCCTCTAAGCTGATTCCTCTGCCCACAGATCATTTTGACTGTGCTTGAACTTCACGTAGACGGAATCACAGACTCTGTGCTCATGTACGTCTGGCTTCCTCCACTCAGCATAACGTTTTTTAGATTCATCCATGGTGCTGTGTAGATAATAGTTTGTTTCTTTTCATTGTGAAAATATACCAACATGTGTTTAATCGTTCTATTAATGACTCTTAGGACTGTTTCCGGTTTGGGGCTATTACGCATCAGGGTGTTACGACCATTCTTGTACAAGTCTTTCTGTGAACGAATGTTTCATTTCTCTTGGGTAAAATGCGTAGGATCAGTGGACTTTCTGGGTAATAGCATAAACGTTGCTGCCTGTTTATTTTATTTTTCATTGTGGTAAAATATATGTAACATAGAATTTACCATTTAAACCATGTTTAATCAACAGTTTCATGGCATTCACACTGAATTACGTTCACAATGTGCAATCATCACCACCATCTGTTTCCAGAACTTTTTTTTATCACCCCAAACAGAAACTCTGTTTGGGGTGGTAAGTATACATGAGGTATCATGCAGTATAAGCCTTTTCAAAATTGGTTTATTTTATTTAGCATAATCTCCTCAAGGTTCAATTACGTTCACAATGTGCAATCATCACCACCATCTGTTTCCAGAACTTTTTTTTATCACCCCAAACAGAAACTCTGTTTGGGGTGGTAAGTATACATGAGGTATCATGCAGTATAAGCCTTTTCAAAATTGGTTTATTTTATTTAGCATAATCTCCTCAAGGTTCATTCATTTTTTAGCATGTATCAAAATTTCTTTTTTTTTTTTTTTTTTTTTTTTTTTTTTTGCCCCTGGCCAGTACAGGGATGGAAATCTGGACTTTGGTGTTATCAGCACCATGCTCTAACCAGCAGAGCTAACTGGCCAGCCTCTACAATTTCACTCTTTTTTGAGGCTTGATAATATTCCACTGTATGGAAATGCCACATTTCGTTTATCCATTTATCAGTCGATAGACATTTGAGTTGTTTTCACCTTTTGGCTGTTGCAAACAGTGCAGCAATGAACATCGGTGTGCAAGTATTTGTTTCAGTCCCTGCTTTCCATTTTTGGGGGGTACATATCCAACAGTGAAATGCCAGAAACATCTTTTTAAAGAAATATCACACAGTTTCACACTCCCATCAGCAGTGCGCAATGGGTTCGATTTCTCACATATTCACCAACCTGTTATTTTCCTTTTCTTTGAAAACTGCCATCCTAATGGGTGTGAAGTGGTATTTTATTATAGTATTGATTTGCATTTCCCTAATAATTAGTGATGCTGAGGTTCTTTTTGTATGCTTTTTGGCCATTTGTATATCTTCTTTGGAGAAGTAGCTATTCAGGTTCTTTGCACACTTTTGAATTGGGTTGTCTTTTTGTTGCTGAGTTGTAGAAATTCTTTACATATTCTGGATATTCATCCCTTATCAGATATATGATTTGCAAATATTTTCTCCCACTCTGTTGTCTTTTCACTCTCTTGATAGTGAGAATTTCATATTTTTTGATACTATTGTAAATGATACTTTTAAGTCTTCAGTTTTTAATTATTCATTTCTAGTACACAAAAATATCATTAATATTTCACTGTTGACCTTGTATTTTGTGACCTTGCTGAACTCATTTGTTAGTTCTAGTAGCTCTTTGGGTTCTCTACATAAACAATCATGTCATGCAAATGTAGCAAGTTTTATTTCTTCCCTTTCCATCTATGGGCCTCTTATTTTTCTTGCCTGCTGCTCTGGCTAGAACCTCCAGTGTGGTGCTGAACAGCAGCGGTGAGCGTGGACATCCTTGCTTCACTGCTGGTCTTTAGGGGAAAGCATTCAATCTTTCACTGTACTAGGTTAACTGCAGGGTATTTTAAAATTGAGATGTAAATTGCAATCCATAAAGGTCACAATTTTAAAGTTTACAATTCAGTGGGTTTTAGTAGTTCTGTACAGGGTTGTGCAACCATCGCTACTAACCCAGAACATCTTCATCACTCCAGAGAGAAGCCCCATAACCATTAGCATTGTTTGTGCGAACATCATTCCCATGTCCCCTCCTCCCAGCCCCTGGCATCCACCAATCTATTTCTGTCTCTGAATTTGCCTGTTCTGGACATATCTGGCTCCTTTCACTGAGCATGCTTTCCAGGTTGATTCATCTTGCAGCATGTATCAGTACTTCATTCCTTTTTCAGGCTCAATAATATGCCATTGTATGGATGTATCACCTTTTGTTTATCCACTGGTCAGCTCATAGACATGGGTTATTTCCACTTTTGGCTATTATGAATAATGCTGTTATGAACATTACTGTACAGATTTTTGTGTGAACATATATTTTCAGTCCTTTTGAGTATGTACTTCAGAGTGGGATTGCTGGGTCATATGGTAACTCTACGTCTGACTTTGTGAGGAGCTACCACACTGTCTTCTACAGCAGCTGCACAAGTTTGCTTCCCACCGGCAATATATGAAAGGTTCCAATCTTTCCACATCCTCATCAACACTTGTTATTTTACGCTGTGTTTTATAATATGTGTATATATATATAAGCAACAAGATAATCATACAGTTTTTCTTCTTTAGTCTGTTGATATGGTGAATTATCTTGGTTGATTTTCAAATGTTGAAACTGCCGTGGCCGATAATGACCAGTAATGTTGGGTACCTTTCATGTTTTTACTGGAAATTTGTATAACTTCTTTTGTGAAGTGGCTGTTCAAATTTCCTGTCCTTTTTTTTTCTTTTTTGGACGCTGGCCAGTACAGGGATTAAACCTTGGACTTTGGTGTTATCAGCACCACGTTCTAACCAACTGAGCTAACCGGTCAACACTTTTGCCCATTTATTTATTTGGGTTGTTCATCTTTTTATTGTCAATTTGTAGGAGTTCTGTAAATATTCCTTTTTCAGGTATATTTTATGCCAATATTTTCCCCAGTTTATATATTAACTATTCAATTTCTTAAGATTGTCATTTGATAAGCAGAACATTTTAGAATTTAATAAAACCCAATTTATCAATTTTTTGGTTTATGGCTAGTGCTTTTTGTGCAATGCCCAAGAAATCTTTGTCTACCCTAAGTTGCAAAGACAGTCTATTGTTTTCTTCTGGAATCTTATGGCTCTGGCTCTTCTGTTGAGTCTACGATCCATCTTGAATTAACTTTTGCAGATGATGTGAGACAGGCCCCAACGCTCATTTTCTTCCCAAATGAGTATCTACTTGTTCCAGCCTCCTTTGTTACAAAAAGATTTTCCTTTCCCATTGGATTGACTCGGCCCCTCAGTCAGTATTACTTTTCTTTTAAGAATTCTTCATAATTATGTCTATATATTTATACGGAAGCCAGTAAACAACATTCTGGGCTAATGTGTAAAAGATAACTAATCAATATCTTGTATTGGTAATACATGCATGTGGTTTAAATTAAAAAGTACAAAATTGAAAAAGGTACAAAGGTTATAGAAAAAATTTCAATTTTCTTTCCAACCATGTCACTCATATCGCCAGTGCCATCTGCTGAGGCAAAGTCAGTTTTCTGAGCAACTTAAAAAGTTAGGCTCCACGTCATCCAATGTTGAGATTCTGGTTGG